ATGGAACACGTCCTGCATGCGTAGCTTAAAGATAGCGTGCAACTCAGCAACGAAAACCTGCAGTAGTGGGCCTTTGAGGTGGAGAAGGTGGTTAAGAAAACATACCGGTCTGTATCTGCGCTCATTGAAGGGAATCTGGTGCAGAAATTTATCGACGGCATCCGCGACCTTGAAGTCAGGGCTACTGTGAGGCTTGGGCACCACGAGACGCTTAAGGACGCCTTGGCCCATGCACTGAAAGTGGAAGCCATGCGACAGGATCATCGTTCCCATCGCATCAGGGAGGTTGCAGCACCTACAGTTCGCGAACGCAATAAAACCAACAAGCCTACACCGGCGCTAGGTGCTACCGCTGTGGGGAAAGGGACCATCTTCGATCCATCTGCCCTAAGCGAACTGTAGAAAGGGAAGGTGATCGATCTTGAGAGGGTAGTGCGGCTAACAGCACCGCCTAGCAGCAGCGGGAAAACGAGTAAAAGTCAGGACTTCGGGGTGCGTGCTAGTTGATATTAAAAGAGCCCCAAGATCGAAATGATCTCACAAACCCATGATGGGAACAGCCTAATCATCAAGAGTGAGGACAACGGAATGTCATGTAAACTGACCATAGATACTGGAGCCTCTCGCACGGTTGTCAGTTCCCAAATTATAAGTCAGTCCCTTGGGTTTTGTAACAGCCACCGGTCAGCGTATACCCATCCGTGGAGAGTTAAAGCTAGGCAACATGATCTACCTGCATAATGTCGTCGTGACTGATATAATGGACGACTGCATCCTGGGCCTACATTTTATAAGGAAGAGTTGTTGAGAGATCGATGTTAAGCAAGGTGTTTTGAAATAAGGACAAGAGGAACTTTTCGTGGAAGGGGCGTTACCAGGGAACGTGTACAGCCTTAAGAAGATTATTCTCCCGCCAAGATCGGAGACATTTAGTCTTCCTCGGAATCCTGGGCAAGCTCATCGTTGTGTAATCATGGAAGGTTAGACAATGACCTTCCATGGAAAGTGGCTCGAATCTTGGTCAGAACCACTGATATCTCAGGAATATGTGTGCTGAACCCTTGTGATCAGGAACAGATTATAGAAAAAGGCACTCTGATTGGCACTTGTGAGGAAGTGGATGGCTTGCGTCGGTGCGGATTAGTTGCGTGGGTGCCAAAATTTATAGTGTGGGACCCCAGCAAGTATGCACAAATGAGAGTAACCACATTTTTAGATGACTGTCGCAGCGTTCTATCCCCGAATGAAATGGTCAAGGCGAAGAAGATGTTACTCAAGTATGCCGATGTTGTCTCGTCAAACGATGCTGACATAGGAAAGACTTACTTAGTTCAGCACAAAATAAACACAGGAGAAGAGTTGCCTATCCGCCAGCGGCCAAGAAGATTTCCGGTAGCACTTGAAAAGAAAGTGGAAACCATGATTGAGGGAATGGTGAAGGATGGTGTTATTGAACCTTCACCTAGTCCATGGTGTTTACCTGAGGTGCTGGTAAAGAAGAAGGACAGAAGCATGCGGTTTTGTTTTGACTAACACCGTCTGAACCACGTTACGAAGAAGGACAGCTATCCCTTGCCAAGAATATCCTACCTGAAAAGTGGCGACTGGCAAGTTGAAATTGACCCTAAGGACGAGGAGGAAACTGCATTCTCGACATGAAAGGGTCTGTGGCAATTTAAAGTTATTCCGTTTGAATTGTGCAATGCTCCGACAATGTTTGAAAGGTTGATGGAACTTATACTTACGTTACGGCGATATCTGTCTGGTCTATCATCGTAGGCCGTGCGATTGAGAAACACCTTCAAAAACCGTGATCATGGAGATCCAGACTGTCAACCTCAAGTTGAGTCCGAAGAAATGTTCACTATTCAAACGCCAAGTTAGCTTTTTGATGTATGTAGTGTCGGAAGAAGGTATCCGCACGGATCCAGAGAAAATCGCCGCAGTCAAGCATTTGCCGATTCCAAAAGACAAGACACAGGTATAGATATATAAGAGCATATTTGGGTTTGTGCTCCTATTATCGGCGATTTTTGAAGAACTTTCCAGATATAGCCAAACCTCTGCATAAGCTAACCGAGGAGAAGCGACATTTCTGCTGGGATGAAAGTTGTGATATCGTATTCCAGGAGCTCAAAGATCGTCTGTGCAAAACACCAATTTCGGGATAACCTGATGCGGGCAAGGAATTTATAGTTGACACAGACGCAAGTGATATAGGACTTGGCAGTGTCTACAAGACGGGAATTGCTTGCTGGGGTAAAGTCGTTACAGCATTTTAGCAAATATCTACTAATGATGCTGCACTGAAATGGCTATTAGCAGTTCAAAAATCCAGAAGGACAAGTTGCGAGATGGATTGAACTACTGCACGAATAAGACTTTGTGATTGAACATCGCAGCGAAAAATCTCATGGCAACGTTGATGCATTGTCAAGAATGCAAGAGGGTTAGAAAGTGATATCTGTGAGGATGCTCAGGACAGACTATCTCATTAACGAGTGGAAGGACAGCTTACAACATGCACAGCAGGAAGATTCGGACATCAAGCCGATTTTGGAATGGATGAAGGCCAGTGCTCCCAAGCCCAAGTGGAGCGACATCGCAGCGATGAGTTAGACCACGAAAAGCTATTGGGCCCAATGGGACAGCTTGCTGATTCAGGATGAGACAGCTGTCATTTGCAAATGGTTTTCCCTAAAGCTAAAGTACCGGATATTCTACAGCTGGAACATAATGATTGTTGAGGAGGCCATCTGGGAGTTAAACGAACTCTACTAACGATCTGAGAACGGTTTTACTGGGTCCACTGTCGTGACGATGTCGAGGATTCGTATCACAAATGTAGAAGTTGTGCGGCTGTGAAGGGTTTGTTTTTTTATGTATGGTCTATATATTAATAGGCATCAATAGTTAAAATATAACAAATGATGGTGCACCACGGGACTGGTGGTAACAAATATTTCATGGTTGTGATGGATTACTTTACTAAGTAGCCAGACGTCTTCGCTATTCCAAATCAAGAAGCTTCAACAGTTACTGATAAACTAGTTCATGAAGTTTTCTGTCGTTTTGGAGTACCTTTAGAGATTACAGCGAACAAGGAAGGAATTTGGAGTCTCAAGTATTCCAGGAAACTTGCCCAGTTATGGGTACTCATAAAACAAGAACAACTTCTTACCACTCACAATCTGATGGAATGGTAGAACGATTTAATCAGAAATTGGAGTGGTACCTAGACAAAATTGTGGAAAATCAGCAACAACCACATGCTGTATGTGCTTGTCGCAATCTCGTTTTTGTTGTCATATCGAAGCGCTGTTCACGACAGTACATCGGAGACACCGGCTTTCGCAAACTTTGGAAGAGTATTAAGGCTGTTTGCAGACTTGGGTCACCGGAATATAACCTGTTGCCCCACGCAGTATAACTGATTATGCAAATGACTTGCGGAACAAAATGATTGACATTTATGAGCACGTCAGACAATCGGACCAGCAAACATCTGAAAAGATGAAAACCCGGTATGACCGCAAATGAACAACAAAGGGTTCGACGAAGTTTCACTAGTGTGGTTGCATAACCCAGTTCGCAACAAAGGGAAATCCCCTAAGCTTCAAACTAAATGGGACGGGACGTACCGGATTGTGATAAGGATCAATGACGTTACCTACCCGATACAGAAAGGTACAATAGGTACTCCTAAGATCGTCCATGTGATCGACTGGTGCGCTGTTATGGGACCGATAATGCTCGGGACGAGCATGTCTCAGGAGGGGACAGTATTGCGCGCCGTAATTTATAACTGGTACGTGGCGAGTGGTAACTCGCGCCATCTAGTGTCGAGTAGAAGAACTGGGAGAGCTTTCTAGAAAATTCCATACTAGAACTTTCTACACCTAGTCAGTCAGGACCGATATACTCTCGAACATTCTAGATGTTTCAGTAGAAGAGGCCCTATATAAGACCAGTAAGGATCGACGAGACCGGCTCAGTATTGAATTGGCGATTCAAGCGAATACTTCTAAGCAAATTAACTTCGAATTGTGTTTTTTTTTATCAATGTGTTTTCAGTTGTAATTAGTGTTCGGCAGTGAAGTCAGTTCAATCGGCAGTTTTTATTGTCACGAACCCTAAGCTCGTAACACTATTATATGTCTTTAATTAAAAAAAAAATATAGGAGAGTGGGCAAACAAGCATACGGCTCACCTAACAGTAAATGATTACCGCCGCCCATGAACAACCACAATACCAGGGGAATTGCAGAGGCGTTGCCGGCCTTTTAAAAAGGAGTAGGCACTTTTCTTGAAGAATCCTGAGTCGTATCGGTCCGGAAAAATCTCTTGTGGTAGTCGATTTCACAAGGAAGTTGTGCGAGGAAGAAAACTTCTTTTAAACCGCACGGTGGTGGACCGCCTGTCTTCAGATGGTATGGATGGTATCGCGAGTTTTGTCGCGATGTGCGATAGTGAAATTGTGCGGTTAGAATTAGTCCGAATAATTCCTAAGAGCACTCCCCGTGGTAGATGCGCGTTACCCCCGAGGACTACGATGGAATGACATTTCCAGTAAAAAAGGGTCTCCGGATTTCTACACTCACCATACGAAATACAGCAGTATTAAGCTGCTATTTTACACTGGTATTCTGTGAGAGCGTGATTCTTTCCCAGTCGAGCCGACCCATTCATGTTGCAACCACAATATAGCTGCAGCGTGGCTCTACCACGTATAAAATATTTACGCATAGGCATCTATCTTGGTGCATCACTATTCACTACAATCTTGTACTACGCAAATGTGATGGCTAGTTTCCGTTAAGAATGGCTGCCGTGACCAAAATTCGGTCTGGAGGATATTATTTTTATGTATAGTCTATATATTAATAGGCATCAATAGTTAAAATATAACAAAAACCTTTATTACTGTGTTTATTTGATATAACATGTATAATTTAAACATTATATACTACATAAAAATTATGAGCTACTTCATAAAATTGTTAAAGATTTTCTCCATATTCAAGTGTCCACATGTAATTAGCATAAGGATCTCCACTTTGTGCGGCTTGTTTTTGTACATCTTCAGTCTTTTTAAGAATGTTTTTAATTTTATTTTGAAGTTTTGCGTCACCTGATTCTTGCTTATGTTTTTGATTCTTTTCCAATCGTTTTCTTAAAGAGTCCTTACCAAACCTTTCTCGTACAAATTTGTCATACAAATCCTCTTCATCCTGGTCGTTGTTCTTTATTTCCCCATTTCTGTTTCTGTAATCATATTCCGTATTAGGTTTATAAAATTCATATTCATACTTTTCTTCGTTATTTTTATTTTCGTGTGAATTTTTATCATTATCATCATATATTGTTTTTTCTTTTTTGTTATCCTTATGCAGATCATTCTCATTCGTAGGTTCTTCATAGGCGTAAGCTAAAATATCTTCAGGTAGTTTTATTTCAGGCAGTTTTATCGTTAAGTCATGGAATTTTATATTTAACTTATCATCGTATTTATGTTCTTTTGGCGATAATGTGTCTAATGTACCTTTTATACTTTTAACATTATCTGGAGTTTCTGCAAAATTATGAGGAATCTTGGCTTTATGACTTTCATAATTGTTGTCTTTATTTTCTTTTTTTGCATGATTGTAATCCAAAGGGATTCTTTCAAATTGTTGTTTTACATTTATTTTATCCAAGTCATCACTCCGTGATGATATTCTGTCATTACTTTCATAGAAGTTATTATTAGTAATAGATACCAGTTCGTCGTTGCCTTTTGAGTTTGAATTATTAAGCTCATCAGGAATTTCTTCACTTGATTCGTTACTCTCTATATTAAGTTCTACTACAGGTTTGACTTCTTCGTCATTAATGTGTGTTTGTTTTTCCTTTTGTTTATGTTTTGTCTCTTCTATTGAATCTGAAACCGCATAGCTCTCGTTACTTTCTGTATTCGTACTTTCATCACTGTCGCTTTTAAATAAGCTCGGTTTAAATTGTTCTAGAGGTTTTACAGGCTCTTCGTTAGACTTAGATGTACGATCGTTTATGTCCTTCGGATGTTCTAACTGTTCATTTATCACATGTTTTTGATCACGAATAAAATGATTGAAGTCTTGTTGTTTTGGATGGTCTTCTTGCAATTCAATAGATTCTTCTGTATTATCTTGGTCTTGTTCACTGTTTCTCTCTATAGATGTATCGTTGTCCTGATTTTCAACACTGGAGTATTTCTTAAGTTGTAAAGGCATAAAATATTTTTTTTCGTCCCTGTCCCGTATTTCATCACTTTCATAAGAACTATTTGAAGTGTTTAGTATATCTTTTTCAACACTTTCGCTATTGCTTATATAATCTGGATTTTTTTTGTTTTCGAGAGAATTGTCAAAATTTTCTTCGTTTTTTAGTTGATGTTTATTCTCCGTGTTTACAACGCCTTCTGCGTAATGTTTATTAATAACAGCATCTTGATTAGCTTTATCATGACTGCTATTTTTTTTAGAATCTGGATATAAATTTAAAGCTTTTACTCTTTCATTACGATTATTCATTTTATTGAATTTGAGATTATGATTTTTACGTAGATTAATAGGATTTGTAACGTCACTATGTAATGTTTCAATGTTATAATCTGCTAAATTAGATCTTTGTACATTGTTTTTAGTTTGTATTATAGGTAATAGTAACTCTTTTCTATCATTTGTTTGATGTGATGTCACATAATCAACAAGTACCGGATGAGCTTTATTTTCGTTAGCGATATTTATATTGGCTGAAGTTACTGACCTTTTCTTCCTTTTTAATTTATTTAGAAAATGCCCATTCATCTTTTGTGTTTTGTTTACCTTGTCATTTTTCTTATAAACATATTTTAATATTGTATCTTGATTTTTTTCATCTAATAAAGTTTTGAATTCATCGTTGGTTTTATTAATATAGGGTTCCATATTTACATTATCATGCTTTGATTGTGTTAGCACTGAGTTTGCGGTAACATTATTTACAGGAACGTTCGTTACATTCCCTATGTCTAACTCTAATGTAATATTTTTACAGATAACTTTTTCAAGGTTGTTATTATTAGCACTGTCTTGGTATTTTACACTATTTTCGATGGCATTTATACTATCTAAATGTTTTAATAGTGTGTTTTGAATTTTTTGCGTTGTAGTAACTGCATCAGTTACCTGTAAATTTATTTTTTAAAATAATTTTAGAATGACTAAATAACTGATTATATTTTAAATGTGCATTTGGTATTTCAATGATAAAAGCAATAAAACAACAATTCTATTCCATAATTTATTTCTGGCATTTAAAGTGTATTTACAAGATAATACAGTTATTGATTAAACGTTAATGTTACAATACGCAACATTGACTACAAAATAAATAAAGACCAACGAATATTTTAACATGCTTAAACTTATGCGATTAGTAAACTCAACAGAATACGATTTAATATCCAATGCTTGGGCAAAGCCTCGTAAAGACGTATAATATTAAATTTTATGTAGCTTCAAATTTATCTTATATTAATAAGCAGGCAAGAATACCATTAAGGGGAAATATAATCTCAAATGGCTTAGCAAGATCCTCCGTTATGCCGAAAGTATTGCAGCATTAATTTTTAAATAAATATATGGTAAAGTTGAGGATTAATGTAAAATTTTCTCGATAGAAAAAAAATCCAAAGTTGCCTCCGAACTGAACAATAAACCGCTGTTATTCATAAAATACTTTTAATAAGATCATGAAACTTTGCATACTAACTGAACTAACTATAAAGCAGTGCTTATGTTATTTACTTTTTTAAAAATACCATTATTTTCACTGTAAAAAGAAATTACCTACACTATCGGCGCGTAAGCTTGATTCCTGTCGCCCCGTTAGTTTCGCTTCGGCTTTTGAATGGAGAAGTTGTGTCGCTTATGATCAGAATACACATTACGCAACAGGACGACGTAAAATTAAAATGGGAAATAACCGTTATAAAAATAAGAAGCGACTGGGTTGGCGTTAAGAAACAGGCATAAATATGATAAACCTAATGAAATAAGTATAAAACGACCAATCTACTTACAGTATTAGTGATTACAAACATGTCGGTACATAGCATACGACGCGCGGGGAAGTGGGGGCGAAATTAGATTTGAGCTGACTTACTAATCCTCTTAATTCTGACTTACTATATGCTAAATTATACTTCTAAAGTTTATATTTAGGTATTAATATAATCTACAACCATTTGATGGTATACTTCTTAAGATTTACAACTATTTATGAAATAAGTCTTAACCATTTAATGTACATTGATGTGTTCTTAAATTCGTAATACATTAAAAGCAATGTTGGAGATTGAATTATTAACTACGACGATTCAAACTACTTTTAAATTTTAAATATAAACTACTTGATTAATATTCAACGACTAATATTCATTACATAATAATTGTTCTACAATTGTGTAAATAAAAAATACACTTATATTATTGCTCATCTATTTAAATATGGCAAATAAGTCGTGGCGTCTTTCAACCATTTTTTAAATATACATTTTGTACAAGCTTTTGATTTTTATTTATATTATAAATTATTTAAATGAAAACGCAATAATATGTTCATTTATGTACATATATGGTTTAGCTTACATTATTGCGTCATCAATAACTAAAAACCAAGATAAGTGTATAACTACAATAGCCTACAGACATCGAAAGTTGCTAAAATTGTTTTGTTTAATTATAATGCAAAGTAACCAATTTAATTCTATATTATATATTACTGAATTTATCGAAATTTTTCATTTTCTGTTACCTACAAATGTTTATTTATCTGATTATTTAATTTTTCTTTATACACGATATTTAATTTTATAATTAATAAATTTGGATAAATTTTAAATAAATTCGAGGTCTGTGGTAGGAATTCAAATTAAATAGAGAATTACGATAAGAGTATGAAACATTCGTTTAAAATAGTCTCTATTTAGTTTGAATGCGGTAATCTATGTCTATGACTACTGACTATAAATTTTTTTAATAAATACTTGATGCTGGTGCAACTACTTTTTGCCTAAGAACGGGTTATATGTGAAGCTACTCACAAATTGTTTCGCCGGACCGTGAAACGGAACAGGGTCCGCCCATTTGCTAAAGTCCATTTGCGGTATAATGCCACTTCTACAAGGAACACGCGGATTTCTGGAAAAGAAAAGAACATATTAACATTAAAAAAAAACTATGGACATTCGCACTTTTCACAAAATTAACGTTTCGTCTATTGGAGAAAGATTCCTCCTTATCGGATGCCGGTTCCATAAAATCTATTATCCGGGGTCATTGCTTGCGCGATTCTGTGATTCACGACGGAAACAATGTACAGAAAAACCAATTAAATATTAATATTCCGCATATTTTAATTTTTTTTTTAATTTTAGGATGACTAGATGGTATCGCACATAATAGTTTTTGAAAACTTAGGTTGAAATTAAATGTGTTTTATGGGCAACAACGTTTTTGCCTACTGATCGACCCTTAAGAATGTGTGCGTGCGCAGTAAAAAAAGTTAAAATAATGCATTACCACGCATTTTGAATTTAAAAGATAAAAAGCACAGATAGTTTAAAATTTTTTTAAAATAATTTTTCTTCACCATTGGCCTATATTAGTTATTCTGAACCTTCTCTGCAAATTTGGCCGCTTATTGTAAAATACTGGTTGTGAAAGCGACTGATGATCATGAGGTCCCGGGTTCGATTCCCAGGTCAGGCCAAAAAAATCAATTATTGAGTTTTTACGGCAAGATATTCTCAGTAACTGCCCGGAGGCAGGAAATTGGCAGATTCTCTCCCTCGTGCCTTGTAAAGCACGTAAATCGTAAAGCCGTTGGTCCTGCGCTCAGGCGCAGAAATTAATCTCTCTCCGGTCGTGTCGGCTTACCGCCCCATCGGACTATGAAAGTGAGAGAAAGTGAATGTACTTGTGCTTGGGCATATACTTGGGCACTATAATCCTGTCCTGCGACGATGCCTAGTTTCCGTTGAGGCTCGCCGCCATATTTAGTGTAAAGTATAACCAAGTAGCCAAGATAGTGCACCAGCAACTTTCCATTAAATATGGTTTTGCTTAATAGGTCGTCCCGTATTATAAGTATGAACCAAAGCCAGTCCTAAAAAATATATTTAACCCAGATTTACAGTAGCAAATAAAATCAGTGTTCGTCATGACTAAAATTACTTGAAAGCAAAAAAGGATAAAAAAAAAAAATATATATATATATATATATATATATATATATATGTATATATATATTATCCTTCTTGAGACATGATATTGTCACAATGTGGGACATTGATTTTATTATTATTATATCAATAGTTGTACCAATCAACGCACTTATCGGTAAAAATATGGATGATTATTTGTCCAAGTTAGGATTGGGAAAATGGCTGAAAGGATTATGGCCAGTTTCCATCTTTGTTTTGTTTACTACCTATACATAATAGTCGAAATAATAATATTATTTTTAATTGTATTTATAATTATAATATTATAATTTTGTGGGAATATAATTTGTTACAATAATAACAATAATGACCTCCAGACACTAAAATTACAAGCAGTTGCAATTTAAGTGTAGATTTACCAGGTGCTCGGAGGCGAAGGAAAATATCGTTAGGAAACCTGCATGTTTCAATGTGCTATGGAAGAAAATATTTCGAGGACTTTCTCAAAAATGCGGGAAGACACGATGTGTCCAACAGTGAGTAGGTATGTCGAACGGTGACATATGTATATGAGTGTTGCCACATTAAAATAGACTTATAAAATAAAATAGACTACTAATATTTTTCTTTACTTACAATTCGTGATCGGGTAAAACCATAGGATATAATTGAACAGTGTCAATAATATCGGTGTTGTCGCAAATGACACGTGCAAGACGAGACTTCCTGATTTCCGATAGCTGTTCGGGCGTGAAAGATGAAGGTTGGTTAGGCAGCTCAAACCTAAAAATTAATATTATCGATATTGTAAATATTTCACACTACCACATATCTTTTTAAAACAAACTTGTGACTTAATTTTCTTACCAGAATCTATCACCACGTCTAGAGTAAGAAAACTGTGTAGCGATAATGCAAGCAAAAGTGGGTCCCAACATTGAGCCTGGGAGAGGTCGCTCTGATACTCCACCAGACCACAGATCCACGTCGATTGGATGTTCAAATATAGTTTGATATTTTCGTACAGTCTCGTTAGGCATTGAACCGAACAGATCCTCGAACGTATCAGCTCCGGATAACCCACAGAACTTCCTGAACTCCATGTAACCGGGCAGACCGAATTCACGTCCTCTTTGCATGTTTAAGGACACCAGGTCCATTCCGAATCGCGCACCTACTTTCTTGAAGAGATGGTTTGTAACTTCTTGGGTTATGGAATCATCCATAGCTTGTGCTACTTGATTCATTAAGCCCATTACGTATTCGTCTAAAACTCCAGCTCTATATAAATCGTAGGGTCTACGAATGAGATCGGACAGCCTTTTTGATGCTGTAAATTAAGAATAAATTTTATAAACAACGAAAACAAATTTGCAACAGAACAAAAAAAATCAAATAATTAATTAGGAGTAGTCGTAAAAAAGGACATGAGATAATAGAGAAAGCTCAAGGTCGTTCAGCGAGCTATAGAGAGGGTTATACTTTAAGTTTTTTTTTTGCATCATATAATTAGAAATTAGGATATCTGCAGTAAAACCAGAGTAAACGACATAGGCTAACGGATCAGTAAGCTAAGTGGCATTGAGCCGGCATTATAGCTTGTAGAACCGACTACCAATAGGGGAGAAAGGTTCTCGAGTGGCAGTCTCTTACCGGTAAGATAAAATGAATGGTGAAGTGATGACCTAGTAATATATGCAGGAAGTTTATTTTGTGGCAATCTTTAAGGGTAGCCTATGTTCAGAAGTGGACTTGTGTAATAATGATGATAATAACAGAAAAAAAAACACTACGTTAAAATAAAACATATATGGCTACGTAGTGTGATGTTTTTTAAATAGGAATTTATAACAACTTTAATTTAAATGGAAAAGCCGTTATAAACCGTTATTTAAAACAGGGCATTCACTTAACCACCTTGATTACCAAAATATTATATACGAATAATTTATTTAAAAAGTCGTAGTCTGTAATATTTTCGTAGATTATTTCATACCTGAACCTGTAAGACAACTTACCAATAAACTTGTGAGCTTTTGACCATCTCTCTACAGCAGTTGGTAATAACGAATGTCCGAATCGGTATGCAGCGGCAGCGAACGATGCGAGCACATCAGGATTAACTTCCGGATCATAACCATCCCAATAACCCTATGAAAATACATCTTCTCGATATTTTATCAAATTGTATTTAAAAAAAAATTCTTTAACAAATATTTGTAGAAACCAAGTGTTCTGTTTTCAAGTTATATTAAGTTTTACCTGTTTCTCTAGCACCAAACCGAATTTTTCCATAACGTCCTTTCCTAGTAAGATTGGCAGGAACTCGTTGTACGTAATGTGTTGTATTTCAGCAATATTAATTCTTCGGGCTTCTTGGAAAAGGGTTTCATCATCCCAGTGAGGGTTAACGGCTGCTAAGCCTTCTGCAACTCGGTTGTGCTCACGCGCCATTAATGTATGCATTACTGTTAGCACTAACTGCTCATTCACACGGATCTCACCTAAAACATTTTAATTTTTTATTAAGAAAAAAACTTGGGTATAAGAATAGCAATGCCTAAAGTATAATACGTAAACACAGAGTAATAATATAAATAGTTTAATATTTTTTTAATGTGCAAACGAAACATAATTTTCTTATTAATATCTAGTTTTTAAATATCTCATTCCTTTTTATGTTTTTTTAAATTTTTAATCATGAAATCTTTTCTTAAGGGACTTCAAAGAGCATACCAGCTTCAAAACAATACATGTTTTTGTTCGGTCGGGTGCAACCTTCGTCAGGAATGTCGAGTTTTAGTGGAAGCAGGTCTTTAAGGCCGTACTCTTTAAAGACGGGGTTCATTCTCAATAGACCGCCATATCCGGTACGCAGTTTTCTGAAATAAGAATAAAATTAATAACTTTAATGGTTAACGATAGTTAAACTTTAAAGTTCAGTGACAACGAGTCTATATTTTAACGGTATAGTGTGTGAAAAGTTAATGATATAAAATATATTGCATTGAAACTGCCTTGTTTTTCTAGTGGTTGTATGTGTGTACTAATCATGTGGTCCCGGATTAGAGTCCCGGGGCTAAAATCAGTTATTGGGTTTTTCTGAGTACAACCTGGAGTCAGGAAGTTGGTGGTATTTTATCCTCTTATCTCGGAACGTAAAGCCTTTGGTCCTACTCCTGATCTCACTCCGATCGTGGCGAATTGCTGTCCCATCGGACTATGTGAGTGAGGGAATAGAAAGTGCAACTGTGTTCGCGCATACACTCGTGCACTGTAATCCTATCCTGTACAGTAGCTATAGCTATCTGTACAGGATATAGGCTAGCTACCTCTGTTGTGAGTGGCCGCCATGACCGAAATTTGGTCTGTCCGTTCAGGATAATATTATATTAAAAATAAAATGCTAAAGTGGTAAGAGAAAATATTTTAATTAGATATGGATAGCAGTTAGAAAGATCAGGGCAGTAGGTTGATGGTACTATATTTTTTTCTTTCGTTAACGGACTCGTACTGTAGTACTATTGCCGGTGTCTAGTAATAAGATATTATCCTTTTTAATAATTGGTTTAAAAACTTTCACACAATATGTTGATGCACAAAATTGTACTGCTTTCACGATTCAAAATCTTTTCTAAAACATTATATATACTGCAACCCGACGGCGATCAAGTCTTCGACAATACACCGGTACTATAATTATCTTCTGAGGAGGTAATAGCTTTTAACAAAATTTGACCTTGTTAGCTGATGATTGAAAATGAGGGATTAGAACTTCTTAGACATTTTATCATCTGATTAGCAACTAATGTTGTGTAAATAATTTATTATTAATATTAGAAATAAATGAAATAATGTCGCAAGTTTACGCCTCGAAAGAAATAGTTCACTTATATATTCAGTCCTTACCTAGAGAACTTGTCGGTGACTCCATATACGGTGTTTCCGTCTATAACGCCAGTTAAAGTGTTGAATGGATTTCTCGATCCTGGAGTAACATAAAACACGTGATTCATATTCAATTATAGTAAAATTTGGGTTCTATAACAAACTTAATATAAATAATTACAAAATAATTATTATAAAAATTCTTTACAAAAGTGAAAGTTATTTTTAAATATGGCTGATTTAGCCACATATACATGTCAGCCTGTCATAGTGAGATTGCAATTTGTCTTCTATTGGGGGTATATATGCCATAGTTGCCATGATTGGCAAGCGAGTTGGCAGCCATAATTGTTTTATTATTCAGTTGTTATCAGATGCTGCTGCCTATCTTGTTCCCTAGTTTCGCTCTGTCACCTCTTGCAAGAACCGTAGGATGAATTGGGAAACATTTGGTTTTACAACTAAGAATATTCTTATGTGGTCACTACACAGCTCCATTCAAAATAGTGTTTATTATAATATATTATACTTTGTAACGTGCAGGTTGTTATAAAAAATGTACAATATGTCTTTCAAGTCAGAAATTACGTAACAATATTATTTGTAACAAAATTATCCTTACATAAATAAATAAATTGAAATCTTAATAGAAAGACATCGAATTACGCTTCATTGGGCTTAAATGTTAGATCGTTAGGGCCTAAGCGATGCAATTACATTTAACCTTTTAAACAGCTTTTATTACGTGGTAGAGCCACGTTGCAGCTATATTTTTATAATATATAATCGAGGCATTCTATCTTAGTCCTCATGGGTGATAACGCACTTGCATTTTGATTCTTAATTGAGGATAAATGTGAGTGTCTATGGGCCATAGCATCCACTTACCATCAGGTGGAAAGTGTGCTCGTTTGTCACCATTGGGTGTCACAATTATGTTAATTCATTTAAAGCTTTTTTATAGCATTGGCTATAAAAAAGCTTTAAATGAATTAACATAATTCTATCAAAACATGTTCAAGCATGTTGTGATAGAACTATGAAAATAAAATTTAGCTTAGTAATGTTTAAATAGTAAATGATCATCTTAGCTAAAATGTTCCTAATAATGATAAATATGTTTTCCTATAGCGAATATATCTCGTAAAGCTTATAATTGTTAGTGAACGTTTTAAAGTGTATTGCAATATATTGCAACAGTTAAAGTTAAGCTAATGATCATCTCAGCAAATGGTTTCTTAACGTTGTTTACACAAGTGTTATTTACTGCCATTTGAATAAAGAATATGTCTTAAAGTTAGTTAAACAGTAATGATAGGTTATTTGATTTTATTTGTCTAAAGTAGTGGTTTATTTTGTTTACCGACTTTAAAAAGGAGGAGGTATTTAATTAATTCGACTGTATGTTTCTTTCTATGTGTTACCTCATAACTTTTCTCTGGGTGAACCGATTTTGATAATTCTTTTTTTATCTGAAAGCTGGTGCTTCTCGTAAGGTCCCATATATAAATTTAATCAAGATCTGACCTAGTTTTTAAGTTGTCTTTAATAATGCGTATTTAATTGATTTCGAATACATTGATGAAGTTCTCATTTTAAATATATTGAAGGCGGTTGTACAATATTTTTAATTTTACCACTTGTGTTTTCTGGGTTTGACAATTACTTTAATAATTATCAGGTGTTTTTATAGAAGTAAGGATGACAAAAGAGCCTACAGCTCACCTGATGGTACCTGATGGATGGTGTTTTCTATGGCCCATAGATAACTACATCTTTTCTAGATTATGTATCAAAATAAAGACGAACTGTCATCTCGGAGGACGGATATAGAATGCTTCTTTACCAATAAAATAGTCTCTGCTTTTCGTGACTTATTCAAACCCAGTAGCATTAATCTGCTATTTCAATTCTTGCGATTTAAGTTCTGCCGCTATCGAGCCAACCCATTCACGCTGCTACCGTAACACGCTGCACTCCGCCTATACCTTAGCCCTTATGGCCCAATTATATTAGTCTAGAAGGAATCGGCGCATGAGTACCGAAAACTATCATCAATTTTTTAGCGATTCTCTTCAAATTTTCCTAATGATGATATAAATTCACGTTGCCATGGGGCAACTCGGTGCCATATTGTTTAAACATATTTTTTTCAAGTGCATGGAATTATTTTTTTCAGACGGGACTATTTTGATTATATTTTTTAATAAAAAATCAATAAAAAAAGCTCTTATGACTTTTTGCGATAAAGTTATTTTTCGGAGGTATGAATTTTAAAACTTCGAAATATACAAATTTGGGATCATCAGTAAGACAATTTGAAGAGAATCGCATAAAAAATTGAGGCGGAATAGGTTTTGGTATTCATGAGCCGGTTCCTCCTGCTCTATATAATTGGTAAAATAATAATAATTATAGTTTAAAAGTATGTTCGATTTTTACTTTAATTATGGCTACCATAACTACAACATACACAGGTTCGGTATCGGTACTTGATTTATAATAGGTAGTAAGCCAGTGGTTAATCGCAGTTTTAAATACAAACTTTTAAGTGCTCTTAAAGTTTCAGTTGCTCTATTCAACGCGGGGCTGTGTTATCTAAAGCATCATCAACATTTCCCATGATTACCATTAGTTTGTTATTTAGCCTTAATTATATTTATCAGAGGTTTTATGCTACCTATATATGCTGCAACCAAACGCAACTCAACCAAAAGCGTAACCCATCATCGATATCCGGATGTGAAGGCTGAGTGTTACACACCTATTTAATACAGCTTCTGAAAGCTTGACACTAAATAACTAGACCGCGGTTTGTTCGTTTCCATCTACAGACCTTAGTTTATGGTTATGACTAGTGACTATTAATAGTTATAGTTATCTATTGCTTTCGTATATTTTGAAATTTTGTTATTTATTTCCTAAAATATTATTACCTGAAAAACTTTATATAACTACGCTAAGTAACAACTGAAATAATAAGTAATTTGTAAAATTATATATTTATGGCAATAGTTGGATGGTTCGAATATTCTTCATCGTATTTATTGAAAAGTGAGTGAAGAGTGTAGTTTGCAAGATGATGTTGTGACCAGGATTAAGAAAGGAATGCTTCGGTGGTTTAATCATGTGGGAAGAATGAATGAGAAAATGATGACAAAGCAAATTTATGTTGCAGAAGTGAAAGCTGAGTTGAAAAGGGACGTCCTAGGTGAAAGTTTATCGACTGAATTGGCGATATATTGAAAATGGGCCAGATTAGGAGTACCCTTAACCGACGAGCATGTATGCGTAGGGATATGGATGTGGAGGAGGCTAAAGAGGTGTGTCAGGAAGATCGTGCCAAATGGAAGTCTGTAGTCTCTGCCTACCCCTCTGGGTGGCAGGCGTGAGTGTTTATGTTTATTATGTATATGTTATTTATTGCAACTGTTGTACATCTTTGCTAAAATGAAATTGTCAGCTATTAGTCTTTATATATATTAGTCTGTATGTCTAATAGGTTCCAATAAAGTGAGGTTGTAAAGGTTGTACACGTCGAGATGCGTTACTTTATAACGTTCAATGATACTGTAATAACTGAGTAGTGCCAGAACGCGTGACTATAAAGAGAGAGGATACAAAGTCAAGTCGTTTACCAGTATCTGATTCGAGTGCCCTCACGAGTCGCAATAATATTTTGCACTAAATTGCGCAACCTGGGAGCACCGGCTCCGACACGTAACGGAATAACTTTCCCCTCTCACTAAGGCAGACGATTCTTGAACTGAGACCGGTCACACGCTATAATGTTTCGCGTCGGTCGATTAAATAATAAAAGATTAAAAAGTATAGAATCATCCTCTCACACAGTGTCTCTCTGTCAGTTATGTAAAGCGGTAATTAAAGCATCGGTAAATATATTCTTCTGTATCAGCTTATGTGAATTCAGTGAATTCTAATACTTGATATAAGCCTTTCCGAGAATTGGCTAAGCAACACACTTCTTGAAAATCGTACGAACCACGTTAGACGGGTGGGTTGGTGAGCGCAGTGCTGCTACTTTATCCTTTAACCTCTCAATCCCCTAGCGGTCTCATGAGACCGCGGCCATATTCCGTCAAATCCCTAGCGGTCTTATGAGACCGCTCCCATCCACAGCACTTTAACCCTTAAAAACTTATGTATAGAGACTACTTTTCCACGTAGAAGTTTGGCATTATAGAATCAATATGAAATTTTCTATCCTCTAGTGCAATATAAAAATAGTTATCCGATGGATATTTACTTATAATCTAAATTCATTTCGTACGCTATTTTTGCGTGAATGTCATTGTGTTGATTTTTAGATATTTCTAGTGTTTTAGTATAGTGTTTTATTATAAAAATTGTGAATATAATTTATCTTTTTACATAAATAATTTCGAGTAATAAATATTGAAATAATTGTGATTTTCACGCTGCCGACATTCGCTTGGCATGTTTTTTGTTATCAAAATACAAAATTAATCTTTTTGTAATGAAGTAAAACCTGACTTTTGTTTAGACCACAGGATAGAGAATTTTGTATCGATTTTATATACCAAACCAAACTTCTTCATAGAAAAGTAGTCTCTAAATATAAGTTTTTAATGGTTTTAAGTGCTGTGGGTGGGTGCGGTTGCATGCCGCATGGATCGTTCGGGATTTGCTAGGAGCGACTGCAAGGGATTTTTATTGCGATTGAAGCGTTAACTGCTTTACTGCTGTGCCCATTATACATTGTATGATTTTGTCAGCTATCATAATATGGTCGTCGTAGCTCAGGGGCTACGCGCCCGCTCTAAATTTCACAGTATGCGGGTAACCCATCCCCGCAGCACCAATGAAATTTTCACCTGCTTGGCGGCGAAGGAGACTATTGTAAGGAAAACTGCATGTCACAGAAATAAAAAAAATATTTCGAAGAAGTGTGAAGTCCGCCAACACGCAGCGCTGCGATTGGGGCAGCGAATACTAATAATATTTCCCGGTTGATTGTTGGTTAGCATAGTGCACTGCACTACGATTTGCAATTGGGGATAAAGATATATTTCCTATTACATTACCGTGTTTACCGATTTGTACCGTAGATACAATTCGGTAAATAGATATTGAAAATAAACACTGATACTTGTGGATTTATGTGTCAGTTGTTTCTTAAATTTCGCAAATCAACCGCAAGAGACCGATTGCGGTTGAGATAAGGCATCGAACTCAATATTAAGCGAGTATGACGAGTTGCCTGTCAAATGTATTGTGTGAATAATCTGATAATCAACTACACAGAACAATTGAATTGTACCTTACCGCTGAATTGATGACCTTGTATGACTTGCTTGCAATTTATTTCATGTTGAAATTGTAACAATTTAATTTGTAAATGGGCCAGGGGGAGGGGGGGGGGGTTGCTAGAGTTGACATCTATGTACCTTTACCGTATTTATCATAGTGATGTATAAAATTGACGTCGTTTTAAAAAAATAAGGCGAATTTGAAACAAATGCTCTTTGCATTCTAGCTTATTGTCTCTAATTCTTCCAAATGAGATAAGTACCTATTGAAGTAAGGATCGGTTTTTCATACAGAGTTCGTAACAAGAATTTCAAATCTATATAAAAATAGTTCTATGGTGATAATGTATGGTAAACTTTTCACCAGAATCTACACAAAATTTTCATGCGTCTGAACCAATTTTCAAGACTTTTTCGAGTCCGCCTCAGTCACACATACTCTAAGATCTGCTCGAACGCTGACATTTCCGCCTATGAAAATATCCCTTTCAGCTTTTATCATTTTAGGCATTAAAAAAATTCCATGTGACTTTTTGGTAGTACACCAGGCGTGTAAGTTTTAGTTTACATATTAAATAATATTTTATAATAATTCGTTATATTTTAGCTGAGCTTTTCCCGTTATCTTTTTTACGTGGTACAGCTAAACTAAAGCATTTAGCTAATACCTAAATTTCTAGCCTCTCGGTAACAAGTCTAATTTCTCGAATTGGAATTAGCTTGGTTCCTGCATGTGTGGTGGTCTATTTGTAGACGCGCGAATGTTAGCGACAAAGGAATTGAGTGTGTTTCGTCGTTTTTTAGAAAATTTTGTAGTTTTGTCCGTTTTTAGATAGTGGCGTGTATGTGCTTATAAGTTAACAAGGACCTATACCCTGACCGCAATATAAACACAATATTTAAACGATAGAAATGTTTATATATATATTTCACGGGATAGTGAACGAATTAACACCGCAAGGTAGTTTGTTATACTAGCTTTTTAATAATTCGAGTATTAACGACTTTTGACTTTTTTATAAGTGGTAGAGTCACGCTGCAGCTATGTTATGACCGGTGTTTCGCTTAGTGAGTGTTAAATTAATATTAAGATACAGAGGAATGAAATTAAAAATACGACATGCATCAATCACAATTTAAGAGTACATCTTGTATGTCAACATGACTCACAACAACAAACGTGTCTCTGAGTATCACTATATCAGGACAGTTACACGCAATAAGATTTAGTGTTTTATTTATTAATAAATATAAACTTTTCTGACTAGTTCGCATACATTGGACATTATTACATAAATTTTTCCCTCAGCATTATATATAGCGTAATAGCTGAAGACTCTTTTTACTGGAAACAAGACATTCTATTTTAGTCATTAGAAGTGACAACTCACCTGCATTTTGATTCTTAATCAAGGATAGATGTAGATATCTATGGGTCACATCCTCCACTAACCAGCAGGTGGAATGTGTGCTCGTTTGTTTCCCTTATTATATAGAAAATATTATAAATATTATAAAAAAAGTTACAGCCTATATACGTGCCCTCCCCCTTATTTCTGAGAGGATTTTTAGGGTAAGGAAGTGTTCGCCGCGCTGCCCCAATGCGTGTTGGCGAACTTCACATGTCTTCGAAATATTTTTTTTCTTATTCCTCAAACACGCAGGTTTCCTCACGATATTTTCTTTCACCGCCGAGCACGTGGTAAATCAACACTTAAAATTGCAATTAACAATTTCATTGGTGCCGGCGGGGATCGAACCCGGGTTACTCGCGTTCTGTTATATTTACAGCGAGCGTTAACCATCTGAGCTACCACGGCTCATAGAAAATATATTTAATTCAAACTGTACTGAAATTAATTTGATCGTTTTAAAGCTTCTGTCGAAATTGAAGCTACAAACTAAATTGTTAGCTGTTCTCAATTAATGTATGACAAAAGCCGATCTTGACTTACCTAGACGGCAACCCGGTCTTGGTGAGGGGAAACCACGCACAAAGTCCATACACTTCACACCGAAGAGACGGTAGAAGTAGTCATCTTCGGGTATTCTGATCTCGTTACAATAAGGATGTTTCAGATGTGATGGTCGTTTGCAGCATTCTTCGGGGTCGTTACGGTTAATCGGGTCTAAAAAAGAAAAGTTACCTCTATTGGTTTTCTATGTAAAGTATGAATATAACTTTAATACAATACAATACAATACAATACTCTTTATTGTACACCAACAAAACATTAATAAATAATAAAAAGAATAATGAGGGATAAACAAAAGGCGGTCTTATTGCTACATAGCAATCTCTTCCAGACAACCCAGAAGAGGAAATAAATAAAAATAAAAATAATGGGTAGGGTGCACTAAATTAGACAAAAAAAAAAAATATAACTTATATACTATATAATGACAACATACTTAAGGTATATTAGTGACCATAACTAAGAGGAGAAAGAGAGAGGAGTTAAAGTGACAAATAGTGTTCCTTAATTTGTTTCTTGAACACATTTAAAGACTGAGCACTTTTAATGGACTGGGGTAAGGAGTTCCAGAGTCTTACTCCAAGAACAGCAAAAGATTTATCATAAAATGTCGAGGAGTGTATAGGACATTGGAGCGAAAGGTTTTCTTTGGACCGTAAGGAAAAATCGTGACAAGAGCTAAGAAATTTAAAACGTTCTTTCAGATATAACTTTATCAGTCTCATGTTAACTTAATATCATTGTTAAGTATCTGTTATCATCGTATTGTTAATTAGATTACGACAATAAAGGGAGATTAATTTAGTTTTCAAATGCAAAATACTTTTTTTAATAATCTAGCTTCCGGAGGCTTGCCTTTACATAGATTGCCTCATAGCCATAGATGTCATAGTTGCCCCGTTTGGTAGTGTCGGCAACTGCAGTATTCTATCACTTTCAGTTGATGGGTGCGTTTGGCAGAAAAAAGCGCTAGCAAGCGCTTACAAGCGCTAAAATAGTTTTCGGCCAGGACACGATTGCTACTTCAGTAGCGCTGACACAATCCGCCATTTTGCTTATTTAATTTGTTTGTTTTTAAGTAGAGTTTATAAGCTGTTTTGTGCGATATTAGTTTTAAGTAATATAATGACATGAAAAGACATATACATGTTATTAAAAATTCATGATTGGTAAGTTTTTAATATGAATACTTTACAAACATATATTTAAATTAGGTCAGATTCCCCGGTTAAAACTAACATCGTGTCCTGGAGGAAAATGGCTACTTACGATTTGACAGCGCTTACCGCTTACGATCGCCATTTTGCTTACAAGCGCTTGCTAGCGCTTTTTTCTGCCAAACGCACCCATTATTTGTCGTCTTTTACAACACCAACGGGATGGTATGTTGGATTCTCTTAGCCCACAATATAATTAAATCTTAGGCCGTAATATTATTAATATTTATTTTATTTTAAAAACTTTATTGCATTCCCCTAGAAAAAAAGGATACAATTGCCAGACTTAATGCCTAAAGACATTTTCTACCAGCCAACCCATGGAATGGTGAGAGATATTATTTAAAATAATAATTGCATTTCAAGCAAATGCAGTTAAAAGTGGGTTATGACACTCCAGATATTAAGTTGAATGTCGCATTTTGCACTTCAAAACAGGGCAAACCGTTTAGGCTACAGAAGGTCATAGACAGACGAACAATATTAACATGTAAGAAGCATGCACTATACTAGTTAGTACTGAGTTCTGTTTTAAAGGGTAATGAAACCAGTTTAATTAAGCTAATTGTAAAGCATTTCATAATTACAGACTGTTAGGTAGTTCATCTTAGTCGTCACGGGTGACAATGCATCTCCGGCCTTCTTTGTTTAAAGTAGGTTGCCGGTTTCATTAAGCCAAACCATAGGTGTCGTACACCCGAAAATATTATTTTGACCTCTTTTTAGTAGGGTATAAAGAAAGTATGTAGTACTGTGTAACTAGTTATGAGATCGAATTTGATAGGAAAACTATATTAAATTGTAATGTCAGTGTTACACCATAGGTGTCGTACACCCGAAAATATTATTTTGACCTCTTTTTAGTAGGGTATAAAGAAAGTATAACTAAACGTAAACTTTATTAAATTGTAATGTCATGTTCCCTAGACCCCAAAAAAATGTAATGCCATGACAACTTACCAAGAGGTGTGCCAGTAAGCGTATAGTCGTGGTCCATGAATTGTCCCCAAGCGATGACCATGACAGTTCCGGCGTGATCGTGAAAACCTTCATCCGGGTGCATAGTTCGCGATACAACACGAGACAGCGGCAGGTCTCGGCCAGAATGCGAGATGCGAGGCGCATTGATGCCATCAGAGAATAATGGCCCTATTAATCTACAAAAATAATTTCCATATAAATTATAGTGAAAGTTTCGTAACCTGAATAGCTCTGTGGGTTATAAGAAACAAAATACATGTAGGTCTTTATCGACGAAATTGCCGTTCTTGAGTACTGGCCATTTCAAATCAAAATAATTTTTGTTTGTCCAAGAATTCTAATTTCAAATTAATATTACTTTTAAAACATGGAATTCTTTTTTGAAAACTTGTTATTTGTTCGTTATGTTTTCTTCGCATTTGGATCTTTTTTCGTAACATGGAAACGTTAAAAATTCGAGTGATTATGGAATATGTGTGGTGGTGGTGGCTGTAACGCGGCACAAGCGGCACGCAACTTCAACGACGTTTACGGAGCGAATACTACAAACGAATGGACCACTTGTTATCGGTTTCCTCGCTTCCGTTCTGTAAATTTCACCCTGAAAAATGAAATCCGTGATCGTCCGAAAACTTTAGTAAAAAAGCTTGACAAATGGGTGCCCCACGAACTCGATGACATCACAGTTTCTTACAAAACGGGATGAGCATTACTGCAGATGTGTACTCTGAAGAACTGAACACAATGATGAAGAAGCTCGCACAAGCTCATACTACACAACATACGGTGTCCAAGTTACATAAGCTAGAGTTGAAAGCTCTCCGTCATCCGCCGTACTCACCAGACCTTGCGCCTACAGATTTTTACTTTTTAAAGAATTTGGATAGCTTTATGGCGGTAAAAATATTCAATACTCGAGAGGCAGCACAAAATGCCTTTGAAAGAATTTGTTGCCTCCTGTCCTCCTGTGTAACAAAGCTTTCTCAAAGGATTCTGTGCTAACGAACTCGGAGTAAGTAGTACTATTTCTTTGTGGTCGCGAGCACAGATAGTATTAACACTTTCACTGTCCGGTTTTCAGACACAATAGTAAGACAATAGCAATTACCTATATGTAGTGCACGGGACAGCGGAAAGGATTAATATAAAATCGTAAAGTTTTGAGAGTGACTTTTCAAAAACATATTTTTAAAATGTTATACAAGTATGTTCTTTAAGTTGTCTCAAACTTAAAATTACGCTTAATGATTTTGTTTTATGATATAGTGCCACGTAAGAACAAGTTCTTATATAGGACAGCACGTCCGGTTAACAACAACACTTGCTATTTAATACCAGCGTAATTAGCCGTATCATGCTGCTGTGTTATTATTTAATTATAACTATAACATGATAACAGACTTAGCCGTTTACCTGATATTGTAATGTCACACGCAACGTCTTACAGCCTTTTTATATCAGCTATCCATAAAATTTAGGCAATATCACAACACTGAATACAATGCTGTTTAAGCAAACGAGGGTTGAATTAATTAAACAGAAAATAAGCCCTATGATCAAGTTTCGAAATATAATATAAAAAGTCAAATAGTATAAATGATACGAACTGAAGATTCATTTACTGGTACGTCGTTGTCACTTGATTTTGGTTTATTACCTTTGGAATGGAGCCATAGTGGCGCCCCATGTGGGATGCTGCAGATTGTTACATAATCCGTCGAGTCGGCGGTACTTCCCCGCGCGGCACTCCACGTGGGAAAACACGGGCGGACACACTTCTCGGATTAATGTACGGGATGTGTCAATCAGAGGCAGCCCCTTCTCAATCTCCTCGTATGTCAGGCCATATCTAGGAACAAGATAACATACAAAAACTTGGTTAATTTTTATTGTTTTTTGTTAATGCTTGACTGAAATCTTATGTATGGACCGTCAGTGACTTTTTCCTTTTTTACTTCATTAAAATATTTTTGGGTATATACCATTATCAATATTTAGTGGCATTTTTGTAAATATTGGATATCTAGGTCAGTGACAAACATGAAATGTGGGTGAAGGTTTTAATATAACATTTAAGATATGGATGTAGGCTAGTTTAGATTATTAAATACTGGCGGCAATTAATATAATTGAGTATCGTTATTGAATTCAATTACATATCAGCGGTTATGTGGTAATAATAAATTTTTATTAAATGAAGTTCCTTTCTAAGTTATTTTTTTATTTTATGACGGAGGCCTATGTAAGTATGGACTATTATAGGCTGTAATTGATGGATGGAATAGATTGTACGCTGGGGTTTTAATTGAAATATACCATGCGTTATTTAATGTTTAAATTAATTATTATTCATATAATATAGATAATTAATATTTATTTTGACGAATATAACTCGGTTTATTTTAAATGACTAACATAGCTAAATTTATGCGAAAAGCTGTGTAGTGATTAATTCACTACCCCATATCATTCGGTGCTGACAATGAGAAAATCCCATATGAAACAATCTATAGTACACTACTATAGATATAATAGATTCAGTAGTAGACTTTTAGACTGAAATGATGCTCATTATGATGTTATATAATGTTATTGATGTTCTCTCTGATCTGGTAATAATTTTACCAAGTTTTCTTAGCAGGAAGTAGATGGATGCAGGATGCAGGCTCTGGATCATGCTTTGTGGCTTTCCTTGAGAGAGGCCCATGTTCAGCAGTGGACTTGTGATTGGATGTAATGACAATGAAAATGATGATTGTAATTTATATATATATATAGGTTTATGGTAAGATTTTTTCTAAATTGTGTATTTTATTACTGTATTGAAAAATATTGCTTTATTCTAAAAGCAATAAATATGTTTTATTTAACCACAATAGCGTAATCTTGGTTTTTGATAAACTTTAATATTTTTATGCCTTCAACATTAATTATGATATTTTTATGCCTTTTACATTAATTTATGATTTACATTATGTAGTTTTATATTAACATGATATTGTTTTAACGTAATATTACTTTTTCGTATATATATTAACTAAAAATCTAAAATTAGCAACTTATATTATCATGCAGTGGGACTCCTCGCGAGAGCCAAACATGTTTCTTATATAAATGAATATAACTGTTGCACATGTCTAAAATTGATATTATAATTATAAAGCATTGACTGATGTTCTACAAACTGTGAAAAGAAAATTAAAAAAGGTCATATGCCCTATGTACTAGTTGAACTTTATGTTTAATTTGCATATTTACTTTGGTCTGGCATTGTAAATAATGACATATTACGTGGTGTTGTGTTTCATGTAGGTTGTTAAATTTTTAAGTAATCATCTGTCGGTGGAAAGGTTAACGATGTTATATGAAATCAATGTAGTATGCCATTGCCAAAGCTCAACAATTTTATACTGTACTGTACAATGTTGTGTGTAAGTTATGTTTTCACTGATTTTTAAGTTGCGGATTCCAGAAATTAAAACTTGCAGTACATATTGTATAGTAATTTTTTATATAATATATATTTTTTGTGTAATTCAATGTGTAAATAAATGATTGCGTGTACACTCCTGATGACGCAACATTAACCCTTCAATCCCCATAAAATACCCATGCAGTCGCATGCGCCTGGAAAATCCCGAGCGGTCGCATGCGACCCCACCCACCCACAGCACTTAAAACCATTAAAACTAATATTTAGAGACTACTTGTCTATGAATAAGTTTGACATTATAAAATCTATACAAAATTCTCTATACTATGGTCTAAACAAAAGTCAGGTTTTATTTCATTACAAAAAGATTTTATTATATTTATATAACAAAAAAAAACATACGAAGCGGATGTCGGCAGCGTGAAAATCACAATTATTTCTATATATAATTAGAAATTATTTACGTAAAAACATATTCACACAAAAACTTTTATAACAATTTTACAATAAAACACTATAGTAAAACACTATTAAAACACTAGAAAAATCCAAAAATCAACACCACTACAACATCCAAATGAAAATGGTGTACGTAATGAACGTAGAATATAAATTAATATCCATAGACTAAATGTTTTTTTATTCCACTAAAAGATAGAAAATTTCATATTGATTCTATAATGCCAAACTTCTTTATAGAAAAGTAGTCTCTAAACATAAGTATTTATGGGTTAAATTGCTGTGGCACCGGTGGCTGCGGTCAAATTTGACCTCTTGAATTTTGACGGAATATCGAAGCGGTCTGGCGTTTGGAAGGTTAAATAATAATTACTGAATTTAAAAGTTTTCTTTGTAGTTAAAGAGTAAAACATGGTCAAAATATAATATGTCACTGCTTTCTGATAACTTAAAACGTCTAGTGCATTAAATAACATTCGACAGTGACTTAAAGACTTTGACTCTGTAGTTGAAGAGAAACGACGTATTCATATTAGATTTTTCCAATCGCTGATGATGACGCTATGCTGTCTTCATTTAATATTAGGTGTTTACTTATGAAATTACCGTTATATTCAGTTGGGCAACTTGTAACTGTAGCAGTTTGATTTGAAATGCTAAATTTAAATATCTATATTTTGCATTTAATGTATACATACGTATATACCTTTCAAAATAAGTTACTCATTTGTTTCTTTGAGTTTTGTTTTTTCCGTAATATTTTTATATTTATTACCATAGTCGCTAAGAAGATTTGTGTTATTTTTGGATATGAGTTCCGACATGGAAACAATGGGTCTCTAATGGCACGCAATATCAATTACCTATACGGACCTAGCTCTACTAACGCAGGCGTTATGGGTTCAATCGCTTTCATTCGAGAAGTTTTGATCTCACAAATAAATCTCTTGGTCACTGGGAGAAGTTTTTTTATTTTTATAAAAGAATATTAACAACGCTATAAACATTACTAATATTCCCCTTAACACACGCCAGTAGTCGAATGGCGAATTCGAACCCACGACCTTTTTGAGTTTGCGGTCCACGCCCTGCCATTAGGCTACTGTCGCTTATAAGTAGTTTGATAATAACGAACTGAAGGAAAAAATTAAAGTGACTCAATCTTGTTTTGGAAAAAATGAATAAGCTTGAGTTACTACAGTCAATTCTATTCGTAATATAAAGTCACGTTCATACCCAAACCAGGTAAGAACGACTATACAGACCCTAAATCCTATAGGCCTATTAGCCTCACATCCTTTCTCCTAAAGACGATGGAGAGGATGTGTGAACGGGAGTTGAGAGGGTCGGCGCTAATTAACTTACCGCTACACGAAAAACAACACGCCTATAGCTTAGGTAAATCAACAGAATCGGCACTTCACCAGGTAATAACAAAGATTGAAGAGGCCATCCAAAACAAAGCAATATGTCTAGGCTCCTTCATAGACATAGAAGGTGCTTTTGACAGAACAAATTTCTCCAGCATAAAAGGTGCCTTAAGTAGACATAATGTTGAACCGGCGGTGATTGACTGGATAGTAAACATGCTCAGTACACGAACAATAAAGATTGCTGGTGAATCTTAGACAATTCAGATCATGAAAGGATGCCCGCAGGGTGGGGTTCTTTCACCTCTCCTGTGGAATATGGTCATTAATGAGCTCATCAGCAAATTAAACGGTAATCATTTCTACACAGTCGGTTATGCAGATGATCTGACAATACTGGTCTCTGGTAAGACAGCAAGCATTGTGTGCGACCTGACCCAAGCGACTCTCCGTATTGTGGAGAGATGGTGCAGCGAATATGACCTAACCGTTAATCCAAATAAAACGGTTATAGTAATGTTCACACAAAAACGAATGCTGAATAATTATCATCTTCCAAGTCATTTCAGCATAAAACTCTAACTTTCTTCCGAGATAAAATACCTAGGTCTTACCTTGGACAGTAAACTTAACTGGAACAAACACATAGAAAACAAAATCAGCAAAGCTAGTTTAACTTTCTGGCAGTGCAGAAACATGATTGGCAAACGATGGGGTTTAACGCCAAAAATTATACTGTGGCTGTACAAAACTGTAATTCGGCCCATGATCACATACGGCTCTCTGGTATGGTGGACCAAAACCAATGAAGCCACCACTATACAAAAACTACAGCGTTACCAGAGATTAGCTTGTATGGCTGTCACGGGCTGCATAAGGACAACACCAACAGCAGCTTTGGAGGCTATGCTGGAGCTAACACCGCTTCATCTATATATACAACAAGAAGCAACTTTAGCTGCCATTAGACTCAAGACCCTAAATCTTTTAAGTAAGAGTAGAGTCCCCCATACAGATATAATCGATAGAATTTACTCAAAAATTCCTATCTTACAAGCCAAGTATGATAGGATCCCAAAACAATTTGTATTTGATAAGAAGTACAGGATACAATTGAAGGAAACTGACCATCTAGAAGGATTGGGACCAAGAGAGCTCAAAGTTTTCACGGATGGCTCTAAGGCAAATGAAGGTGTGGGGTCTGGGGCTTTCTCTGAAGACCTTAATATCCACATATGCACACCGCTAGGTACTCACAACACAGTCTTCCAGGCTGAATGCATGGGTATCATCCAAGCGGCCATAGCAATAGATCCTAGGAAGGTGAAAGACTTCTCCATCAGAATACTGACCGACAGTATGTCGGTACTACAAGCTCTGAGTTGCAATGTGACGAACTCGGGACTGATATACGAGTGCCATCAACGATTGAATGAGGTATGTAAGCACAACAATGTGACTCTGCAATGGATCAAGGGACACAGTGGATCTAGAGGCAACGATGCAGCAGATGAACTGGCCAGAAGGGGATCGGCCCTAGCAACTATAGGGCCGGAACCAATAATACCAATCCCCTTTGGCTACGTT